ACTGCATACCATGAAAAGTTCAAACATGAAAATAGTCCATGAAAACAAAAGTGAATGAAGATACAAATTTCCATGCTTTCCAGACCTTAAAAATAAACATACTAATTTATTTTTGGCTTACAGTCCTATATAATTTTATCACATGCAATTGTTTAATACAATGATCACTACAATCAAGATATAAAACTATTCCATCACTCCAAAGAAATTCTCTTATGCTGCCCATTCATGGTCACACCCTCCCCACAACCCTAACCCCTGGCACTACTGATCAATTCTTCATTGCTGTGATTTTTATCATTTTGAAAATGTTATATAAACAGAATCACATAACAGATAACCTTTTGAGATTAGCTTTTATTTCAGTCAGCATAACAGCCTTGAGATGCACTCAAGTTGTTGTATGTATCAATAGTGTTTTCCTTTTTATTGCTCAGTAGGATTTCATGATAGGGTTATGCCAGTTTGTTCATTCATCAATTGGAGGACATCTGATTGTTTCATTTTGGGCTATTGCAAATAAAGCTGATATGAACATTTATGCACATGGTTTTGTGTGTAAGTTTTGATCTCTCTAGAATGAATATCCAGTAGTTGTATTATTGGGTTGTACATTAAGTGTATGTTTAACTTTATAAGAAACTGCCAAACTATTTTCTAGTGTGATGGTATCATTTTACATTAGCATCAGCAATGTATGAGAGATCTAGTTACTCCGCATTTTGTCAGCACTTGGTATCATCAGTACTTTTTATTTTAACCATTCTAACAGGTGTGTGGTGATAGCTCATTGAGGTGTTAATTTGCATTTTTCTAACGGTCAATTATGTTGATATATAATAATGCTTTACACTTACATCATGTTTTGCATTTTTGCAAATAATGTTTTAAACATCTCAATTAATCTTCACAAGTACGGTGTGGCTATTTTATTTTATTTCATTTCATTTCATTTTGAGACAGAGTCTCACTCTGTCATCCAGACTGGAGTGCAGTGGCTCGGTTTCGACTCACTGCAACCTCCACCTCCCAGGTTCAAGCAATTCTTGTGCCTCAGCCTCCTGAGTAGCTGGGATTGCAGGTGCCTGCCACAATGCTGGGCTAATTTTTCTATTTTTAGTAGAGATGGGGTTTCACCATGTTGGTCAGGCTGGCCTTGAACTCCTGACCTCAAGTGATCTACCTGCCTCAGCCTCCCAAAGTGCTAGGATTACAGGTGTGAGCCACTGCACCCGGCTCAGGGTGGTTTATTTCAATTGATAAAAAGCTGATATATAAATCTGGAAGAGAGCAAAATGTTGTTACTTCAAAGCAGAATCAAAAGAGTTTAAAACCCAAAAAGAAATGAGGCACTTTAGTCAAAATTCCCCATTTTACAGAGAACTAAGTTCCAGAGGGATTAAATGGTTTCTCACACAGCTGGAATCACACCCAAAAACCACACTTCCGATTCTTGAATTTCTTCCATAATGTTCTATCAAGGAATTGATAATTTATGCTTGAATCTTTCAAGTGACTGGGAAGCCACTCATTTTTTTGCTCTATTCTTTTTGGATGTGTTTCCTGATATTGAACTGAAATGACATATAAGCAAGTGACTGTCTGCAAGTATTTTGACATCGAGTTGAAATGGCTTGCTATAGCTCCTGTCAATGGGTCTAGTTCCATCCTCCAAGACCTTCCAGTGGAAGCATGATCACTTTTTAACATGGCAAGACGTCAGATGCCTGAAGACAGTCATCATGATCTCATATATATATATATTCCAGGCTAAGCATTTACATTTTCATTCAACCGTTCTTAAGGTGAGCTGCTTCATCATTCTGCTTGCTTTTATGTAAACCAGTCCTAGATATCTTATGGTGCAAAACACTGAAGAAAATATTCCTAGTAATATAGCCAGAGTATATATATTTTCCAATTATTCATATCTACTGCAAGAAATAATGTAATGTCCTTGCCTTTCACTTAGTATATCATGAGTATTTCTTTATATCATTAAAAACTATCTGTAAATGTATTCTTAAAATTTTAAGTTGAATTTTTTATTTTAAAATTATGTTTATTTTTTGAATGTGTTACATGCACATGGCACAAAATTCAAAACATTCAAGAGGTTTTACAGTAAAAAATCATTTTTCCCAGACTTCTAGTTGACTATAACATGCTACTCTATAATGTGACATAATATTTCAGACACCCATTTTTTAGAGACATAACTCTTTATGATTATGACACTATCACATGGCTATATTGTCTTTTTAATCATTCGTGCTAAACTTTTTTGCCATAATTTTTTATAAACTTCCTTATATATATATAACATTATGAATGTATTTTAGATTTTTTTTTTAAAGTAGATTCTTAGAAGAAAATTGCTGCATTAAACAGTATGGCTTGTGCATAATAACTTTCCACAAAATTACTATTTTATGTTTGCAACAGTAGTATATGTTTATGGTAAATATTATTTTTTCCAGCTTATTAAATGTCTAAAGGTGTTTCACACATGCCAGTGCCTGTCGATATCATACAATTAAATGTGGTTTTTATTTTTTACCAAATATAATGCCTTACAATTAATATTTGTTATATTTTATCTGTTTATGTTTGTTTTATTCACCAGATTTTAAACTCCTGCAGTCCAACATACCTTATTCATATTCTAAAGCCTAACAGACATTTACCCAGGTAGATATTCCATAAATTTTTGACATCTAAATGAGTGGATAAACTTAAAAATCCTACTAGTTTGTTGGACTCTGCCTATATTGTTATAGACTCTAAAAATTTTATTGATTCTAATTATGCCTATATAGAATTTAGCCCAGAGCCAACATCAAGCTGTTCCAAAGTTTGGGGAAAATACTATCCTTCCTGATTTTGTGAATCAGGTAAAAATTTGATAAATATGGATTCTATGTTTTCATTTAAGTCAATGAAACACAGATGACCCAGGACTGTAATTCTATACTAAAAACCTCTGGAGAGGCTGACTGCCATCTAGGAGTCAGTATTCTTTGGATGCTAAGTCCTTCTCTGACAGTACTACCATCTAGCCTCCCCAACCCCTCCAACTTACTCACAAGGATATGATTTAAAAAAAAAAAAAGTAACTAATACCTCATTGGCCCAGATAAATATTACTTACTGAATTTTATTGGCTGACTAGTCTAGTAATTCTATCAGGAATCAGGAAGAAAATTAAATTAGACTGAAATAAAATGTTATAGATAAACCCGTGCTGTATTCGATTGATTACTGCTTTCTCTTACAGATGCTCCCAAAGCATCCTTTAATTATTCCTTTTAGATTGTTGTCTAGGATCAGCATGGTCCTGGCTGGTTATCAGGGGTGTTAAGAGAATCTCAGTTGAATGAATAAAGTCTTAGTCAAATAAAGATTGATTATTTATTTGGGAGGGTTTCCATGTGATATGGGTTATCATTTTATATCACTGGCACTCCTGTAGATGTCCATAATCTTTTCCGTATTTCTGAGAGCTTGTGACTACTTAGATTACTGAAAAATACTTTTTCTTATTAGTAGTTTGGATAGGGTCGAGTAAAGTATCTGCATACAGACACCTGTGACTCCTGCTACACATGAAGGGGATGGGAAGTGGGAAGCAGTTGTCAATTAAACAAAGACTCTCTCTGATCACATGAAATAATCTTTGGGGGATCTTTGGATATTAGCTTGGCTGCCACATAACTTCCCGGATCTGGTAACCTGTAGTAACCCTATCAGGTCTATTTCAAACTCTGGCAATCTCTGTCAGAGCAGAGACTGTGGGGTCTGTCATTTGCTCATTCCATTCTGGTTCACATAGTCCAACCAAGAAGTCCCTCAGACTTCCTCTACCCTCCAGCACCCATTTCATTATCTCCCATTCCCTCCAAGCCAGGAAAACCTAATTGTGATGGTTAATTTTACGTGTCAACTTGACTGTGTTAAGGGATATCCAGATAGATGATAAAACAATATTTCTGTGTGCCTCTGTGAAGAAATTAGCATTTGAATCAAGACGGACTAAAAATCTGCTCTACCAATGTGGGTGGGCATCATCCAGTTCACTGGAGGCCTGCCCAAATAGAACAAAAAGGGCAGAGAAAAGGTGAATTTGCTTTCTTCTTGAGTTGGGACCTCCATCTTCTCCTACCCCTGGACATCAGAGCTCCTGGTTCTGCAGTCGTCAGACTCTAGGACTTATACTAGCATCCCTACCCCACATTCTCAGGCCTTACATTGGGTGTTAAGTTATTGGGTCTCCTGGTTCTCAGCCCTTTGAACTTGAACTTAATTACACCATTGGCTTTCCTGGTTCTCCAGTTTGCAGATGGCAGATCTTAGGTTTCTGTGATTGAGACATTTCCATAATAAATTATCTATCTATCTATCTATCTATCTATCTATCTATCTATCTATCTATCTATCTATCTATCTAATCTATCTGAAAAAGATAAGCTGAGGTACAATAAAATTTTAAAGTTTATTTGAGCAAACAGTGATTCACAAATTGGGCAACTCTAAACCAGAAGTGGTTTGGGAGCTCTGCTGAAGGAATGCAGTGTGGAGGATTTTATAGCAGGAACATGAAAGCAAAGACAATATTTGATTGGTTACAGTTATATCATTTCCGTCTTTGGTCATCCTCTTGGAAAGTCCCTAGCTACATAATTATAAAGCTGCTTCTGACTGATTGAGCTTAAGTTCTGTGTTATATTCATTTACCATAAATAGCTCAAGTTAAGTTTTAGATTATGTTTGCAAATCAAGCAAGGTTAACTTATGAGGCCTAACTGGGTTTGTCTGCACAGAGATTCGTCAGGCTTGGTTTCCATTTTTAATTTGCTTTAACAACATGTATCATTCTACTGGCTTTGCTTCCCTGGAGAACCCTAATACAGAAGTCTCTTAGAGATATTACTGTATTCTCTTTGAACTCTTGTGTATTAACTTTATAGGGCTTCTGTAACAAATTACCACAAACTGATGGCTTAAAACAATAGAAATTTATTCTCTTAGTTCTGAGGCCAGAAGTCCAAAATCAATGCATTAGCAAGGCTGTACTTCTGCGGGAGGATCAAAAATCTGTTCTTGGCCTTCTCCAGCTTTAGTGGCTGTCAGCATTCCTTGATTTATGATCACATTACTCCATTCTCTGCCTCCACGGTCACAACTACCCCCTCCTCTTCTCCATGTCTTCTCTTCTGTCATATATGAATACATGTCATTGGCTTTACAGCCCACCAGATAGTCCAGGATGAACTCCTCATCTCAAGGTTCTTAATTACATCTGCAAAGACTTTTTTATCCAAGTAAGGTACCATTCACAGATTCCAGGATTAGGAGGAAGGCTTACCTTTTGCAGGGGCCACCATTCTACCCCTACATCTTACCTAAGAATACAAGTTTTTCTTCTTTCAAGCTTTGCCTCTTGAAGCTCTGAAGAAATTTAAGACTTGTTCTTTTCTCATCACCTTAGCTTTGAAGACTTATGTCTCCATTTTAAGCATGCCTTTGGCAAATTCAGTGTATTCTTTTGTTTCAGTTGATTTTTTTTTTCTTTTTTTTTTTTTTTTTTTAAATGACACCAATGGGCAAAAAAGTTACTTAGTTAAAAAAAAAAAAAAAAAATTCAGGGATTGAGATTTCCACTTTTCAACCTGAAGGCAGATGTTTTCCCATGTTTAGTGTTCTATTACATTTTCCATAATTCCTCAAAGATGAGTACCACTGTTCTCAGATCTCATTTGTACTTTCCTTTTTTTTTTTTTGTCTGAGACAGAGTCTCGCTCTGTCGCCCAGGCTGGAGTGCAGTGGCCGGATCTCAGCTCACTGCAAGCTCCGCCTCCTGGGTTTAGGCCATTCTCCTGCCTCAGCCTCCCGAGTACCTGAGACTACAGGCGTCCGCCACCATGCCTGGCTAGTTTTTTGTATTTTTTAGTAGAGACGGGGTTTCACCGTGTTAGCCAGGATGGTCTCCATCTCCTGATCATTTGTACTTTTTACCCTAAAACCTGTAATGTAAAACACTCAGAGCAAATGTTATAATCTAGATTCAAACTGTTAAGTACTCTCTTAGAAAATTTTTTCCCCTAATTAGGAACAGTATTGCCTTCTGTCAATATCTATATGCTTTTGAGTAATATTAACAAGTTGCTATTTGTTGTGAGCCTGGCTCAGTGTTTTGAATATGTTACTTCTATTAATGAGAAAAATCCTATGGGAAAGGCATCGCTATGTCTATTTTACAGATGGGGAAAAGGATACCCAGAATAATGTAACAAGTAATGTTGTCAAAGACAAAATTTCAACAAATGTAAAGATCTAATTGGTTTTTATTAGTGATTCTAGAATTGGGCAGCATCTCGTTCTATAAAATAGAATAGTGCTTCAGTAAGTTGAGCAGAGGAAGTGGACTTTATTGGGAGAAAGGGGCTAAAGAAAGCAGAACTAAGGAATAAAGTGTATTGATCATTTCAAAACGTTACTTTCCTCACAGGGTTAAAAAAGAGGGGACTTCCTTATCACACTGATTAAAATTGGCCTGTTTGGAGATTTGGTTGTTTTTCCCTCCTGATTTCTTGGAAGGTCAGATAAACAACTTAGTTTTGGTTTGGTGACCTGGAGTTTTAGTATGAGTGACTCCATTTTGGTTTGGTCTGGAGGGGCCTAGTGCAGGAGCCCAATCCAAAACAATAGCCTCCCATAAATTTTGTTAAACAGTGCTGAAACAGAATTAAACCTAGGTTTGCCTGGCCCCACAAACACATGTTCTTTCTATGATGTCAACCCACTTCTCTAGTTTCCTTTGTAGAGAATGAAGCAAATAGTAGTTAAGGAGTTCTTTCTCTGTCAGCTCTAACCTTACAGTAGAAGCTGCTAGTGGGCGTTTCCCTTTCTTGATCTTCTGGTTCTGAACAGAATTTTAAAAGGTCTGTTCTTTGTCCTTCCTTAGCATTTTTTGCAAGTCTCACCTCATTTGGGGGTTTCAGGTTTCTTGACACTATCCTTTAGGGCCCATGTTACCTTCTTATAATTATCCTTGGTATGTGGTTGCTTTCTCCCAAGGTTTCTGTCACTTCCAATTAGCCAAGCAATTCCTCCTTGTTGGTCAGAATTAGGTTCCCAGTTGCTCTGCTGGGACGTTAAATCATGAGAAAGGCAAGTCAAAAACTTGTCAGATGTTTTTGATTTTAGCCCAATAAAACTTTTAATGTGGTCCAGCTATTTAAATTTTCTTTTTTGTGTGTTGCATTGCTATAGGTATTGACAAATAGTATACTGAGGGCATTGTGTTATCAACAACTAATTCCTTTATGGAGAATTGCAATGTAGCAATATATATTTGAAACCAGTTTTTGTTGTTTTTGGAAACGGTCTCACTTTGTTGCCCAAGCTGGAGTGCAGTGGCACAATCATGGCTCATTACAGCCTCAACTTCCCAGGCTCAAGCCATCCTCCTGTCTCAGCCTTCCAAGTAGCTGGTACCACAGGTGTGAGCCACTATGCCTAGTTAATTTTGTAATTTTTTTGTACTGGTGGGAGTCTCACTATGTTGCCCAGGCTGGTCTTGAACTCCTGGCCTCAAGCAATCCTCTCACTTTGGCCTCCCAAAGTGCTGGGATTACAGGCCCGAGCCACAGTGCCCAGCTGAAATTAGTTTTAAGTCTTTTGTATAAAACACTAAAGCAGTTCCAAGCTTCCCATTGTCTATATGTACACATGGCTATTTTAGCACATTCCCATTTGTTAGCCTCCACTCAAGTTCACCATGTGGAAAAATATTTTCTAATAAACTAATCTATTTGTATATCACACCTTGAGTGTAATCCCAAACCAGAAAATAGGAAATGGGATGGGGAATATGACCTCTTTGAAGCAAAACATGTCAGAAAGCCTATCATAAAGTAGAGGGCCATGAATTGAGGTGGGAAAAATATTATAATTCTTGCGAACTTCTAAGTAAGATTTAGGATTTCTTTCCATTGTGAACATATGCAAAAAACCACAGTGTTATTACAACTATTTTGGTGACTTTTTCACTTACAAAAATCACAAACATTTTCCTATCACATTACTATATTTGTAGATATCTCAAGATACAATTAGTATTATTTCAAAATTATACATTAGACCTGCTAGATTGTATTATTTAATGCAATAATAAAAAGTACATGTAAAGTATACATTTATTAAATATTTTGATTACCATATTTTAGTATAATTGATTTTATTTATAATCCTGTGCATTATATTTGACGTACAAAAAACATTACTCTAAAAAGGACTCTCTAGGCTTCACTAGACTGTCAAAGGGATCTGTGGCATAAAAAAAGGTTAAGAATATCTGTTACAGACTCTGGCATGGTAGTTAAGAGCATGTAGTCTGATGTCACACTGCTTGGGTTCAAATTCTGCCCTGTCACATATGATATGACTTTGGTTATATTATGTATAATCTTTGTGTCTTAGATTCTTCATGTGTAAAATGGAGATAATAATGCCTACCTAAAAGTCTTGCTATGAATATGAAGTAATATTAGTAACAAGCTTAATACAATGCCAGCATACAGTATGTTATTTATCCTTGTATCCACCCAGATGAAGAGTTTCATTTGGATCCTATTTACATTTATTTATCTTACATACTAATTTTTTTTTTACTGTGTTGTCACACAGTTACTAACACTGACTAAAGTTTTTAATTATATTTTAAAATACTGACTAGTTTTAAATTATATTTTAAAAATACATGTATAAGGAAGAATGATAAAGTCCCACATGCCCGCCATCCAGTTTAAGGAGAAAAAAGTTACTTTTACTCTAAAAAGGATGCATATAATTTATTATCCAAACAGTGACAATTTGGGGAGTGACAATGCTATTAATCATTACACCAGAAAATCAGCAAACCAGAACTGTGCTAGGTAAACCAGGACTGTTTGGCCAAACCAACACGTATAATTATCATACTCTTAAGCTCTTTGTTCACCTATTCCTTACTTCATTCCCTTCCCTCTGTAGCTAGAGGAAATCACTGTCTTGAATTTGGGCTTATCATTCTTTTGCTTTCATTTATAGATTTACTTCCTATGTTTGTACTCTTATGCTATTTACTTTCATTGGTTCTTTATATAAGTAGAATCCTACTGTAAAATTCTTTTGTGAATTGTTTTTTTGCTCAACATTGTGTTAGAGATTTATCTATGTCCACGAATTTGTAATTCATTTTTTCCACCACTATATTCTACTGTATGAGCATATACAATGTATTTAATCACTCTACTGTTGATGGACGGTGGATTTTTTTTCCATGTTTTACTGTTATAAATGCCATTATGAATTTTCTTGCTCGTCTCCTGCTATACATTTTTCCTGGGTCACAGAAGATGTGCATCTTCAGTTACTAGATAACACCATATTGTTTCCCAAATTGATTATATCAATTCATACTCCAACCAGCAATTATAAGAATTGTAATGATATTGCCAGACTTTTACATTTTTGTTCATCTGGTGGGTGTGAAATGGCATTTCCTTGTGGTTGGGTATCTTTTCAGGTTTTCTCCTGTATGAATTGCCTGTTTGGGGTGGAGAGCATTATCTTCATTTTTATTGAATTGTAGTGGTTCTTTACACAGTGTGAATACTGATCCTTTCGATAGTCATATGTGTTGCAAAGATCTTTTCTCAATTTGTGACTTGTCTTTTGTTTTCCTATGGTGTCTTTTTCCTTTTTAACTATTTATTATGGAAAATGAAAACATATCATAGTCTCCTTTTATCTATGGTTTTGCTTTCCACAGTTTTAGTTACCTGCAGTCACCGCCTGTCCAAAAATACTGAAAAATTCCGGAAATAATTCATTCGTTTTAAATTACACATCATTTTGAGCAGCATGATGAAACCTGCCATTCTGCTCCATCTTGCCCAGGATGTGAGTCTTCCCTTTGTCCAGTGTATCAGTGCTGTATATGCTACCCACCTGTTAGTCACTTAGTAGACTTCTTGGTTATCAGATCAAGTGTAGCGGTATCACAGTGTTTGTGTTCTTTATTTTACTTAATGGTTCAGAGTGTAAGAGTGGTGATGCTGGCAATTTTGGATATGCCAAAGAGAAGCTGTAAAGTGCTTCCTTTAAGTGAAAACATAAAAGTTCTCAATAAGGAAGGAAAAAACACAGTATATATAGGGTCCAGTACTATCCTCAGTTTCAGGCCTCCCCTGGGGGTCTTGGAACATATTCCCTGAAGTGGGGACTACTGCATGTAAAAGTATGCAGAACAGAATACTAAGTCCCCATATACTTATTATTCAACAATCCTCAACTCATAACCAATCTTGATTTATACTACCACCCACTTTCCACATCTCTTACCTTGAAGCATATCCCAGACATTGTATCACTACATCTCTAAATACTTCAATATGTATTTCTAAAAGGAATCTTTAAAAATTACTATGATCACACAAAAATGGTTAATTCCTTAATATCATCAAATATTAAACAAGCATTCAAATTTCTATCATAAATGTGCCCTTACAAAATTTTTCAAAAAAGCAATTTGAATAATGATACAGATAAAATCCTGTGGTGGACAACCTCCAAAATGGCACCCAATAATCCCTTCTCATACTGTACTTAGTTGGTTTGTGTGTCTGTGTTAGTCTGTTCTGCACTGCTATAAAACAATACCTGAGGCTGGGTAATTTATAAAGAAAAGAACTTTACTTGGCTCACAGTTCTGCAGGCTGTAGAAGCATGGCACCAGCATCTGCTTCTGGTGAGGGCCTCAGGAAGCTTTTTGTCATGGCAGAAGGGAAGGAGAGCAGCATTTCATATGGTGAGAAAGGGAGCAAAAGAGATGACAGGCTCTTTTAAACAACCAGCTCTTGTGTGAACTCACATAGCGAGAACTCATTGCCGCAAGGACAGCACCAAGCCATTCACAAGGGATCTACCCTCATGAACAAAACCAGCCCCACTTCCAACATTGAGAATCACATTTCAACACGAGATTTGGAGGGTACACACATCCAAACCATGTCAGTGACCCACAGTTTGGCCACATATCTGTGTAATAATATGTCACTTTGGGGGCTAGGTCAAAAAAGGCATTTAAAAAACATGGTGGCTTCTGCTTCTTTCTCTCTTGGATTACTTGTTTTAGGGGAAGCCAGGAAGCTCTATGAAGGGGTACATGTGGGAAGGAAGTATGGTATTCAGCTAAACAGCTAGTGAAGAACTAAAGTGTCCTGCCAATAGCATGTCTGTGAATCCTCTAGTACTAGTTAAAACATCAGATGATTACAGTCTCAGCTGATGGTTTGACTAGTAATTTCACAAGAGACAATGAACCAGAGCCACTCAGCTATGCTGCTTCTGGATTTTT